TCCTCACCTCCGTCCTCCACAGGTTCCATGCGCACTTTTTCTTTCTAACTGGACTGGCCGGGAACCCTCCTCACCTCCGTCCTCCGCAGGTTTCCATCACCCGAGACGTCTCCGGTGAGGGCGTGCAACAGGCGCTGCTGAAGATGGTGACGCACCCGCCCTCGCTGCCGCCGCCTCCTATGCTGCAATCCTTACCCAAGGCGGGAACCGTGCGATATTGTAGTTGCCGGTCATCATGTCAAGACGGTCCTGACGCGCGATCAATGTGTCGGCTGTGATTTGGATCCCAGGTCATCGCGGCGGTCCTCCAGGCAACAGCCAAGATGAGGTTCCGGTTTATAGGAATATGTTTTGACAAGAGGGAGGCGGGTGCTTGGAGCAGTTGGAAGGGACTGTGGTGAACGTGCCCGCGAAGGGAGGCCGGAAGCACCCCCGCGGCGACGTGGTCCAGGTGCGCCTCGCTCCCTGGGGATGCGGCAGTGCACCCCCGTTTCGCGCGCGGAGCCTGGATTCTATTCCAGGTTGGATGAAGATTGCCTGGGGGGTATGTTGTGAGTGGCGCCTGCACCCATGTCACACGCGCCGCTGCGGGCACTCGATGCTCGGTGCTCGCGCGATGGCGCGGCGAACGGTCCGATGCTCCTGGGCCAAACAGCTCAGATGCCCATCGCCAAAGCTGGGGCGGAGGCAGTGAGGCCTGGGAAGCAACCTTCATTGCCCTCCCCCCCTCTTCCCACCCCTGTCTTGGTGCGGTAACCTTCCCCATTGCCCCCCTTGTCTTGATGTGGTAGCGGCAAAGGGTGGAAGGCTCAGGGGGGAGCGGGGAGTAGAGGGCAGGTGGACACGAAGGACATTTTGTTTATCTGCTCCGGAGCATTCACGGGCCTCGAGAAGGTGATCGAAAAGAGGATCAGCACCGGGCAGCCGGGCATCGGCTTCGGGGCGCAAATGCGTCCGGCAGCGGACCAGCCCACTCTGGCGGTGGACGCTGCGTTTGCCACCTCCATGCACCGGGTGCGCCGCCTCGCCCAGATCCGGTGCGCCGTCCGCACTGTCCCATACGCTGCGCACGGTCACTATCAATGTCACGCGTCGGAGCGTGCTCGCTGCAGTGAGGCTGCCGGGGTTGAGGTGATGTGAGGGTTGCGGTGCAGAGGGTGATCACGGCGGACCTCGTGACATATGGGCTGATCCCCGAGTTCGTCGGACGCTTTTCAGTGGTTGCGACGCTGGATGCCCTCAGCGAGGACGACCTGGTGCAGGTGCTCACCACCCCCAAGCACTCCCTCAGAAAGCAGTACGGCGCCCTCTTCCGCATGCACGGCGTCACGCTCCACATCACAGCCGACGCCTACGCTGCCATTGCCCGCCAGGTGGGCCCTCTCCTGCGCCCTGCTCCTGCATACCCTTTCTCAGAGGCCTCTCTCCATGTTGGCATGATTTATCATGGCAGGAACCGCTCGTTTGAGGGTCGTGTGACCCCGGCACGGGGGGGTGTGACCCCGGCACGGGGGGTCGGCGCGCAGGCGATCAAACGGAACACAGGAGCCCGCGGCCTGCGCTCCATCCTGGAGAAAATCCTCCTAGATTCCATGTATGAGGTCCCTGACGCGCTGCCAGGTGACGCCTGCATCCGCGGCCGCCTGGGATACCCTGTCTTGATGGCACTCCAGCAACCTTAACGCAGCAGAATGGTGGCATGTGCGTACAATGGAAGATCAGATGAGGGAATGTCTCACTGGCATACATGGATGAAATAACCAGGAGGAGGTGTTTGGGGGGATGTTTGTTGGGCCAATTTCCGTCACCGTTGTCATATTGAGTGGGGCTTGAGAGGGGGGTTGCTTTCTGCGATGAAGGTGAAATCGAAGCGGTTCTGCTAGATGGAGACAGCGTGGGGCCGGAAGCAGATGGTGCGTCAGAGATCACTGGACCTCGCTTGGCTCCTGTGTTCGGCTCTCTCAAGCACCAACGCGGCTGATGCCTGACTGGAGCTGCTCCCCTCCGATGAATGTTCTGTTTGAGACTCCGAAATGCTTCTGATAACTTTTGGGGACAAGCCGTTGAAGGGAATCCATTCATTGGCTCATGGACGTGTTAAGGGAGCTGTGCTGTGTCAGGAGGTACGAGGCTGCTGCGAGGGGATGGTGCCCTAAAGCTTTATCTCGAAGAGCATGAGCAGAAGAAGGCAGCTATGGACCCGGAAGCCGAGATGGAGACTGCTGCTCTATGAAAAGGGAACCACAGGGGGCCTTAGGGTTTTGACATCTGAAGGCTGAGTCAGATAGGCGTCCGCAATACAAGTTCAAATATATTTTTGTACTCTGGGACGGAACTGATCTCGTTTGATATGCATTTCGCGCATTTCGCAATATACGGATTGCAGAGTGCATCTCTTGCGTGCATTATACGTACATTTCGCATCATCGCCAATGGGCTCAATAATTTCCGCGTGCTTGCGCTAGTTGGCAATTTTCTCGGGCGTCCAGAATAGACAGGGGAAACCTTGGCGACCCTGCGCGAGAAGTTGAGCGCTTGCGGGGACGACTTCACTGCAGTTGGGTTTCTGGAATAGATGTATTGATATTTTAGCATATTAAATGACGATTGCATATTTTGTTGGTAAATCAAAGTCGACCGCCAACACACATATCCACATATAGGGCTACGAGCAATAGCCTATAGACGACCATTGCACTATAAGTTGACATATGCCATATTCCATGATTGTTGCTCGTGGATGGCTCTAGCACGTGTTGTTTGGGGAGAGCCCGTAGGGATATATGCCCATAACATCACCATTTTGTAGCTACCCCCATGCCATTTTGTAGCTTCGGTACATTTTTGTAGTTATCGCAGAATTTGCCAAGAGAATTCTCTGAATTTCTCCGTTCGCTTAGAGGAGAATCGGAGAATTGTTAAACAATCACCCGAACGCAATATAATGACTATTAACCGTGCGATCGGTAGTCACAACTAGCAGATTCGATCGGATACTTACGGATCACGATTGAGGTGTGACGCTATCATCATCAATATCCTGATTTTCGGGTGTCCAGTCATTCCTAAAGTGTTCACCCTGCGCCGCCCTGCTTATTTTTGTTGCTTACTGTGGAGCGCGTTCTTTATTTCTGCAGGGACCGACTGTTTTGGGACTGCGCTATTTACGTCAGCGGATTCGCTGTATGGTGTCTGTTGGTAGGTGTGTGCCTTGGGCCTGACATCTTGCGATGTCCTCACAGCAGCCGCATCTTGTGATACGCGTCGTCACAGAAATGCTTAGATACCGGAGGGCATCCTTACTGCCCACCGTTTTTGGTTCGATTCCCAACATTCCTACTGAGCAGCGCTTTGTTTTTTTTGCAGGTTGTCATTTTGTTCGTCTTCTGTTTCCGCCAGCAGTTTTGCTGGCGACACCTTCCCCACTATCTCTTGTGAATAGAGGGAATGCTTGGAGGCCGGCGCGGGCTCTTTTGCAGCCGACGGCTTGGGTTCGATTCCCAACTTTTCTACTGAGCAGCGTTTCGTTTTTTGCAGGTTGCTTTTTCCCGCCGATCTTCTATTGATGCCGCCAGCAGCGATGTTGGCGGCATCCTGTAACTTTCAGCGCTCTGCAGAATTTCCCCTGTTGGGTTTCCAGTAATTTCTCACTCCCGTCGTCCTGTTTCGCTGCTGTTTTCAAAACGTATTGTGTGTAAACATCCACTCGACTGCGGAATGTCGACAGTAATAGACTGTCGGTATTGGGTTCGAATCTCAACGTCCTGACTAATTAGTTGTCCGTGTGCTGCAGGAAGATTTTTGGTTTTGGAACATCTGTGCTTTCGCCATCAGATATTCGACTGATGGAATATCTTTGCTAGTTTATTTAAAGGTTAGTTTTGCGTAACACCCAAGGAGCGTTGCCTTCTTAGGTTAGAAAATACTACCCTAGTATGGAACGTATTCTTTATATTATTCTTAATTAATTTGTGTTTTGACATTAGATTTGAAACGCCTGCGTGCTATTTCTTGTTTGCCCTGTGCTATAGTATGAATGATCTTTTGTTCGCGCCATCATCTTACTATCATATATATATATATATATTGTATACTTCCTATCACACACACACACACACACACATATATATGTGTATGCATCCGTCTAGCAGATTTGTTTTTCTTGTCATACACGGTGCTATTATTTTGACAAAATTGTATTTTAAATCATATGCGCGCGGTACTATTCGTTTGTGTTTCTGCTAGCTTGAAATATCATTTCCGGTATTTTTGTAGCTAGCTACAAAATGACATATTGCTCTCAATTTTGTAGCTACAAAAATCCATATGGCGACCATTTTGTAGCTAAGCTATAAAAACCGGAAGCTACAAAATGTCTCGGGGTAGGTACAAAAAAATCGTGCTACCATATATGCCGTTATTGCTGTGACTACGGATATGCCACTTTCTGAAAATTAAGAGGCATATCACACCCCTGTCCCGACATACCAGACACACACAACCCAGGACGGTGCGTGATATGACAGAAAAGCCACATCGTCCATACGGGATTCAAATGGTCGATTACGACGTTTGTTAGGGTTCGAAAGATGACAGACGCCCGCAGTCGCGATGTTTGTACGTCATCGTCGATGTCGCGATTCATCTTCGATCTGTAATCGTCTTAGCTGTACGATAGAGTACCACTGAAATGCGCGAAGATATCATCAATAGCTTCGCGTAGCACAGTTGGTTAGAGCGTCGCACTAGAGCAGCGAACGTCACGGGTTCAAATCCCGTCGTGGAGCATTTTCGCCCCACGACGATATATGATCGCGCAAAACTACACTAACGCGCAAAACTACATTAATTCATAATTAATTCGGGGAGCATCCAATAAATCGGAAATAATTACGGTGCGTCCCGAATCACTAGTGGCACCCATAAAAAACCAACAACACAAAAATTCCGTCCCCGACTAGTGAGGTACAAATCGGGCACCGGCAATCCGACAAAAAAATAAGGTTGCAGAGGGGGCTGTCCATTATATGTATGGTGTCGGAGGGGGGCGAATTTGGGGAAAATAATTTCTACCCCTCGCCCCATCTCTCCGTCGCTCCCAAAGTCGGTTCCCTGTCGGGAACCATTTCATATCGATATATCTACTCAGGCTGCTCATGCAGCTTATGGGAGAAATTTCTGATGGCTTGACGCCATGATGAGATATGGCCGGATTTCTGATGTAGTAGCTTTGGCGGGCCAACCTACATTACATACGCCACAGAAGGCAACACTGTACTACCACCGCCCCATAGTAACTCTCATACACACTGTGCAGAGAAAGGATCCCCATTCAACACGGTTGGAACTATTCTTATTACAAGCCACATAGACGTCATCGGCTAATGCCATGCATATATTTTAGTTAAACAAACGATTATTCCAAACGTTTTTTTACAATTCATGAATTTCATTCTCGCAGAAGTTTTTAATTTGCAGCAAACCACGTGATCCTGCCTATGCATTATCACGCTATCCTATAGATAATCATCACCACACAACATCCATCGTTTGAGGGAATTTCTGTCTATGTCTCCAAATTGCAATTCTCTCCAACCAAGTTCAGGCCCGAGTTTATAAAGTCCCATCAAAAGTTTCCTTTATTGCCCACATCCAAAGCTTGAATGCAATCATCCGTTCGAGCATTCCGAGTGTGAAATATTTACACAACTCGCGATCATGGCCAATGCCTCGGCGCTTTCTTGATGAGAGAAACGCACATTACTTTAATGTATCTCCAATTTCGCATTTGCATAACCATCATGGTTTGCCTTGTGATTATCGAAGAGCTCCTGAAATGTGACATATCACAAAACCTCATCTCCCACAAAATAACCCAGATGCTTTCTATTTCATACGGGTTAACAGTTCCCGGTATTGAATACTTTAACGAAAAAGCCGGCGTTTACCACCATCAGTATGCGGGTGCGGGTGGTTATGGCAATGGCCTACATGCAATGGCGGCGATGAGAACAGAGCGCTTATCTTGGTTCTCGCTGCAGCAGCATGCAGGCGAGCGTAGTGAAAATACTGGCCAATTACGCCAGGTTTACATCAAGCAAGGATTGTGGCAAATCCTAAACGGGTCATGCGAGTGTTGCATGCGCGTGGTCGGTGGTCCAAGCTGTACTCGTGAAAGGGTAGTGGCGGAGACAGAACCTGTAGCGCCTTGACAAATTTAGCATGAAGTTCATCTACATCTTCGTTTGTCGGTTCAACTTTTTTCTCAACCTGCAAATTGCTGTTGCTTGCTTAGCGATTTTACAAAGTTTTGCCTACAGAACTTTGGTCGCATCGTTCGGCGCTGATCCTTTCATCTAGCACACTGACCAAGGCATGGACAAATCTGGAGAGACGGCATAAAAGAAATGGGAAACCGTGGACTTTCGACAAGGGGCAGTCCTCGTTAATTTAAATGCCAGTTTGGATCATCTCTCTAATGAGACCACAGTCTTGCTGAGCGGGAAACCCATCTTACTTCGTCAGCACCCCTGTTCTTAGAAGCGGGACCTTCCAAAAAACCAGGCAATGTATGGGGCGCCCATGCCAGATTGCACAGCCAGTCACCATGTGATTGAGATCCGCACAGGCAACCCTCTTACACACCCATGTTTCCTCGACTTCCCAGATATTCCCTGCGCCCCAAGTCTATTTTGCTTTGTTCATGTTTGACCGATGTTTGTTCATGTTTGACCGATGCAAGGCCTTGCTATATATACTGAGCGCTGCATCCTCCATCTTTAACACAGCAAGGTCCATCGTATCAAAGATGACTCACCTTGATCGGCTTGCCAACAACTGCTATCAGGGGCACGGGGCGTGGGATTGGAGTGAGTGCAACGCCCCAGCAGATGGGCAGCGCCACACGTAGATGCTTGCACACTGCTAACCGCAGCCCGGAGAGGAAGCTGGAGGTGGTGTACATGTCCGTCTCACCGAAGCTGTAGTTGGGGATGAGATCTGCGCCGTACTGCAATGCAAGCTGGGCGATCCTACCCCGCTACACTTGTTTGCTCAGAGTGTTCGATGCATACTTAACGCACCTGCCTCTCAGCACCAACTGTTTGTGTGCCAGCTGTAAGTGAGATGTAGACAGGCAGCCCGTGAGCAAACCGCGGATGCGCGATGCCTGTGCGTCATGCCTGCCGTAGCCTTACAAGATTCATGCGTGGCCTAAGGGCATATTACAGATCAGCATCGCTATGGTATGCATGACCGCATATGGAAAACTAAAATCATGTTCAGGCTCGGAAACAAGAGTATATGCATGTAGGTCAACGGATGCCGAGGTCACTTTCGGGTTCAGCAGTACGGCTAGCTTCCAAGGCTGCTTGCATAGTCCTACTGTGTGATGGGGTGTGGAAGAGTCTCCAGATGCATCGTGCACGTCAGGGTTTGGGAACTGGATCAGACGGTGGAGGTGCACGATGCATCTGGAGGATTCAAGTGCATTTGCCAGGCTGAGTCTGCACTGGGATGTCAATAGCTTTAGCAAGAAGCCACCTTGACGAAGCCTTTGCGATTCTTGAGGTACACAATGTGCCTGCCACACTGCGTCAGCACCTGCTCTCGCTCGCCGCCTGGCAGAACGTACATACTATAGCCGCGTTGCAGTACTGCCTGCAGCACCGTGAGTCGCCGCCGCCTTTTCTTCCGCCCTAGAAGAGCCTCCCAAAGCAGATGGGCGCTTAGCGGCAAGCTGTGCAGACAGCGCTGAGCGAGGTCGAGATGACAAGCTGTGCAGACAGCGCTGAGCGAGGTCGAGATGACCAGCTGTAGCTGGCAGGAGAATATAAGCAGAGAAGAGCGAAGGCGAGACGACAAGCTGTATGCTGAGATGACCAGAAGAGCAAGAGCAAGACGGCGAGCGGCATGCAGCCGGTGTGAGACAAGCAAGGGCGACATTGAAAGGCAGCTTTGCTGGGGCATGCTTGACGCACACAGGAGCAGGGATGGAACGGTACCAGTGGCACGCAGAGGCAAGCAGCTAAGGGGATAGATGGGTGGATACCTTAGCAGTGCTGCGGCCGGCATCCACGCAGCCCATCCATAAGAGCATTTCTCTGCATCGCCGAGCGGGTATGCCCACAAGCCTTCCCCTGAGTGCTCCTGGAGGTTACACGACCGGATGTGGAGGAGGTGATGGCGGCGTACCTGAAAATCGGGATGCCAAGCGCAGCGGAGGCGGCGAGGTCCCGGCGCTTGTACCCGAGGGTCGGGAACTTGGTAAGGAATCCACACGCATCGGAGCAGAGCATGACGTGATGGAAGGAGGCAATGCCGTGGGGGAAAGCTGCAATGATGCCTTGCTTCACCTCTGCAATCCCCCTCCCTACCCTGTCACGATGAGGAAGCCGTACTCATGGAAGTGGGGCAAACCGTGGCGGAAGGGCGCTATTCCACGAGGGATCGCCCGAAAGAAGCAAAAGCAGGGCGTTATTGCTTTTTTTTCCTCTGCAAGCCCTGGCCCTATCACGAAGGCGAAGAGAAGTTTATTCCTCGCTCGACCCTGGCGGGGCGGCGTATCGACTCCCAGTAACGCACGCTCACGCCTCACCCCCCCCGCAAGATGCACCGAGCTATCCCTCAGCCGGTTCGATTAAGTGAGTGTACGACATATCAGGTAACCCAAACGGACGCGGAGATTCCTACGCCATTGGCATAGTGCTCTTCTCTTTCCCCTGGTGAGGGGATGCTTTGGAGGACTGGGGAAGCGACACACCCTTTAGGGCCTCTTCATCCTCGCATATCACCTGCCCCTTGAAGTAGCCTGCACGACCACAGCTAGAATTCCTGAGAACTTTATCCCTCCACGAACACGCCGCCATGCAGCCCCACTCAATCTAAACCGCCCGGCTGTCGTACTCAACGATGGTTTCCGCGAGCTTCGTACAGAGGTAAACAGGCCTCAAAGGCCCTAGAGCAGACTGCTAATGTGCACTCATCGGCTGAATTAAGATCTAGGTGAATTGCGAAGTGCGAGCATAGCGGGATTCCAGTGCGAGTGCGGTTGCGACACGGAGCATCCTTCTTGAATTCTGACAGAAACAGGGAAAGTAAAGCGTGTGTGCGCGCCTTGAGGGCCAAAAAGGGCTTTCAAAAGCCATGATTTCTGAAACCAAGGCCAAGCTCGACCCTCAACTATTCTCGTACAACCCCTCCCATTCCCGCCACATTCACGGCCTCATACCACCGCAGCAGCCAAACTCTCGAGTAGCAAGGATACTATGGCATGCGCCCACTCATGCGTCCACACTAGAAGAAGTTCGTCTTCATGACGAAAATACAAGCTACAGAACAAAATGAGCTGTGGCGGCAGAAGAAAATGGCCAAATATTGTTCACTGAAACTCGATCCTGCCATAGCACGGTGAGAGTGTCCAACAGCAAGAATATACAGCGCGGTTTGAAATCTGCGGTATCCAGACGTTGAAGAACAGTGACCTGTGTATTCGCTGCCATCACAATAGCTCGAGGCGAGATAAATAGCCAGCGTGGCGAAGGCTACCCAGTGCTCGATCTCAGCTCCTGAAAGTCCGAGAACCAACACAAAAAAACGCTGAGAGGACACTGCGCTTACATTAGTCCGAAAGTCTCGGCCGTTTATAACAAGACGTGCACTGGTTCCCTCTTGAATACCGAAATATATATCGCTGCAGTACGAAACCGTCCTGTCCACAAGAGGCCAGATGCAGCGGGAAAACAGCCTTTCTGAGGAGGCTTATGGGGTTTGCCCGATCAACGCGTGC